TGCTCGACGCACGTAATCGTATTTTAATCACATGTAAAGGAGATGATATTGTAATGCTCTCTGTCCGATTTAGAGTATCGGTATATAACTGGCAGTTCTAGCTGTTACTTTTGTGCATTTGAAAATATTGGGATTGGAGGAATTGTGTAATGTATTTATGCGCAATTACCTGCTCGGGGGTTTCAGTTTCCCTTAAAATTGCTCCTAAGCCTACAAATACAGAGCTAATTGTCTTCAAATCAAGCACTTAAAATCATCACTTAAGGAAACACTGACCAAAGCGAGAAGTGCATACCTTGAGAAATCATAATATTTAAAGTGCGTGTCTGGTGAACGTGGATGACATAATATTGCTCAGCTTGCACATCAAGCTTGGAGTGATCTACAGCCCTAAAATATTTGTATGTAACTATTAAATCAAAAAAAAAGCGACAAACTTGGAACTTTTGTATACCATTCCTTAAAGCAAACATCAACATATAACAATAAAAATCTATTCAGCTATAAAATGTCATTTTGCCCTCTCTTTGTCGATTTTAAATATTAATATCTTAAACGACGCCTATTTAATGCAAATATGTAAATTCAGAAGTTAGGCAATTAAAACAAGTTTTCCCTAAGTTTTAAAGTTAAAATCGTAAAATATAAGGAACAAAAATAAAATTCTTTGGTTGAAAATTAATGATTTTAAATAAATTTGTTAATTGTGTTTTTTTTCTTATCAATATCCAAAAAAGTTGAGTTTTATAATATTTGTGCATATTATATTATTATATTCTAAAGGAAAAAAAAAAAAAAGTTAGAGGTTCTAGTAAGGATTTCCTGACTTGGAGATACCCTGAACCCTCTTCTACCAACAGCAAATGCAGCTCGTGCTACGAGCTCGTTTGCTTAAGCAGTATTTAAAAACAAATAAATCTTTCCCTCAGTAGGAATCGAACCTGTGACAGATCACACCACTTGCAATCGCCCCGACAGCCACATCAGCAATTTGTTTCTTATGAAAAAAAAAACTAATTAAAATAACAGCACATAACAACTGCAATTGCAATGTTGTTGATAGAATTCAATAAACACACTGCCAACTTATGTTACTTCTGTGTTTCCTAACCGATCTTGATGAAAACTTCAACAGGAGATCTTACTGTACTATAGAATATATGTATATTCTCAAAAAGTGAATTGCATTGAAATTGTCGCTCAATTTGGTGGGCGAACCGTGTTTGTTTATTTATTTGATTAATAGCTATGTGCTGCTAGCGGGGAGGTGGTGATAGCTATAAAATGAAGGATACTTGATATATATTTACTATTCTAGAAGCCGCATGTCAAGTTTGGTGGTATAGCTCTTATAACTTACGAGAATTACAGAATTTCGATATCGTTTTCTTTTGATTACTTGGAAACGGGGCAAGTTATCGATTATCGAGAACAAAATACTGCTGTGCGGACACTAGGAGGTCCTACGTTTCAAATTAAGAGTCTATCTCGTATAGGTTCTGAGATCCTTGCGTTCATACGGACGGACGCACGGACAGACAGACGGACATGGCTAGATCGACTTGGCTATTGATGCTGATCAAAAATATATATACTTTATGGGGTCAGAAATGCTTTCTTCTGCCTATTACATACATTTATACAAGTATATTATATAATTTTTAGCCATTTTAAATGGGTTCATGGTATAAAAATGCGATCAAAGGGAAGACTTTAATACATTTTGCGCAAATGTGATATTGAAGTGAATGTAGAATATAATGGTTAGCAAGCAGTTGAGAAATATATACCTCACTGATCAGATCATGATAGTTCAGTGACAACAGTGGAAATACTACGAGTCAGAGTAAGCTGATGACTATTGGACAATTTTCGGCTACCCTCATTAAGGATTGCTTAGAGTATCGAGAGAATAATCAATATTTTTCGGTAGTTGATTTCAAGCAAGGATTTGACCGAATAGCGGCAGAAGATAAATCCGTGCAGTACACATCCCTTGTCAAATACGGATACTTACGAATGCCATTTGACTTCCGGAACGGACTCTCTATTTTTAGAGGTCCATTATAGCTTATATGTATGATATCGTCGTGGCGGCAGGAAATTTAAAGGAGCGTGTACATATTTTATGTATAGAAAAGGAATGTGAATTCTTGGGTAATATTTTCAATCAACACCGCATAGCATAGAATTTCTATAATTTGAAAAAAGTATCATATCCCTCATAATCTTAAAAGTCTAGACTTTTTGGTTGCATTTTTTCGTACTTCCACCGTTTTGTTATTTAGAGCATAGAGCCTTTAATTTAGAGCAAAACCTGGGAATTTAGTGAAAGACCGCCATTCATAACTTAAAAAGTTCAATCTGCCTAAAAAGCGATTCGAGCACAGCAACATACATAATTTTAGAAGCTTACAGAGTTAACGGGATCCAAGTATCTGCGAACAACGGCATACTATGAAAAGAATGCACAGGACGCCAAAGACCGCCATTAAATGTCACACTCATACCAACTGGATTGACAGCATTTCCATCGTACTACTTGGCCTACGAGCAACAGTTAAAGAATATCAACACGTCTCGCAAGCTGAAATCGATTGTGGGACAACGTCACAATTGTAAAATCATTTGAATTAAAATAAGACCTTTTTATACACTGAACCCATTAAAAATGGGTAAAAGCGGTATAATGTATTTTTGCAAATGTATGTAACAGGCAAAAGGCAGCATCTCCGACGCCATTAAAAATATATACATGTAATCGGTCAAATTCGATATAGAAATCCTATATTTTGAGCAAGTCAGGTAATAGTAGTTATAAGAGATAGAGTCATCAAACTTTATATGTAGGTTCTTGAATAGTATATATAAATCAAGTATAATCATTTTATATCTATCGCCACTTCCCCGCTACCACTACATACCTATAAGTCAAGTAAATAAACAAAATTGTATTACCCACCCATTTAAGCCACAATGTTAATGCAATTAACTTTTTGAAAATTTGAAAATATTCTATGGCACAATAAGATCTACTGTTAAAAATTTCATAAAGATCGATTAAGAAACGCAAAAGTAATTAAATAAAAGGTGTATAAACTGAATTTCTGTATAAATGTACAAACACACATTCATGCGCGTCGTTATTTAAATCTAGCAACAGCATTGCAATTGTGATTGTATTCCATGCTGTGTGGGTATGTGCTTCTATTTTTATTCGTTTTTTTCATTAAGACTCAATTGTTGCTGTGGCTGTTGAATAGAGGCGGTTGTAATGTGTGTGGTCTGTTACGAATTCAAGTGGAGGGAACTTTTTTTTTTATTTTTTTTTTTTAATATATTTTTATTACTGCTTAAGCAAACGAGCACGTAGCGCGAGCTGCATTTAGTTTTGGCAGTCGGGAACTCCCGACTAGAGCCTCTTACTAGTTTACTTTCAAATTCGGGGAAAACTTGTTCAATTTGCAGTTGGGGAACCGGAGAATTTACCCGCACCCCCCAACTTTACTGATGTATATCCAAGATAGGGATATCTGGATAAATGTCTGTTATTGAAAGCTACATGTATCACTTATCGTTTTGCTTATTAGTAAGCCAGTACACTTACTGAGCCCAAAATAAGGAGCGTGGGATATGCAGCTTAAGCATAAACGGTCAGCTAGTGAGGCTAGTGAACCGCGCTGCGTAATATGAGACAGAGCCAATACATAAAGTGGCTCTGAGCTTGCTTACTGTATAATTGTTATTGTATGCAACAAAGTGCCGCATATTTTATATTTAATTACATGGTGTTCTGTTAAGGCATATACACACTACACCTTCCTTTTTAGAGAAATGACGTATTCTATGGAGTTATTTAAAGAGTAGTGATATACATATATATATATATATATATATATATATAATTAGATTTTTCTTTATTTGCTGTGAGTTTGAGTCTTATAAAAACCGCGCACAGCTCTAACGGTTAAATTGAATTAAATACAAGGCGAAATTTCACGACAAGTTCATTTATTGAAGATCAACTTAAGACTAAAATTCAGTAGAACTTATTATGCTTATTTATGCTGAGAAGCTTATTTCTACGTAAAGACGCGCAGCTGCAATTATCTGACTGAGGTGTCTATTGCTTTGTGTAACTGTACAAGTGCAGCTGCAATTATCTAGTAAGGTGTTTATTGCTTTGCTTATCTGTTTGGATGCAGCTGCAATTATCTGAATAATGTTTTATTGCTTTTGCAGGCGATAAGCACTTGCAGATTCGCAGCTGCAATTATGCTACCTTCTTATATTTGTCCCTATAACTGTGCATATGTGCGAATATGCCACTTCCCTTCCCTTATAGAGAAGTCTATGCCTAAGCAGGGACTTATTAGTACAATACAGGTAGTGTTGTTTGGTTAACATTACATTTTGTGGTTTTGCACCTTGGTTTGCATCATTTTAAAAATTTTTAATTGGATTTAATTTTACATATGGTAGGTATAAGTATAATATAATTAGTTATTTTGGAAAATTATATGAACAATGGTGTTGTGATATTTATTTTTGTTAATTCAAGAGGTGCGTATAGAGGTGTGAAATCTATTTCTATTTTTTCTTTATTTTTTTTTTTTTTTTTTTTGACAATTTGACTTAAGTTTCTAGTTACAATCATTTCTGTTGTTTGTATTGGTATAAAGTTACAAATTGGTATACATTCTTTTATTGTTTGCATTTCATCATTCGTATTACGTCATTTAGCTCATGAATCTAATCGAATTTTGTACAACGGTCTCTAAATTTTTTTGGAATTCCACTCGATGATTTTCGTCGAGTGTGCCAAAAATATATTTTTATGCTGAGCCTATTATGTTAAACAGTTCTTGTTTCTGTCTATTTTCTTGGTGTAGGGTTATTCCGGTGTTCCGTAGTTGCGAGTTGTCAAATTAATTATTTTAATTTATTTTCATGTGGTGATTAATAGAACTAACATCACTATTGTATTTAATAGACCTGTGGTATTGAGATTTGATTAAATTTCTTTCGTTTTTTAAATTGTGTTTTATAGTAGCGTGTAATTCTATTTCTGTTAGTAATTCGATAATGGTCTGGGTCTGTTTGTTCAACGTTTTTATTAGCTTTAAAAGGGTTTTCTAATTTTCCTTTTTGTAATGGTCCTTTTCGATATCTAGTATCAACTTCGTATTCTTGTCGGTCACCGTTCATTTTATTTATTATTTTTTCTTTTTTTCCTTGGGTATCTAAATTTGGTTGTCCGGCATATAAGAAAATGTGTGCAGGAGTTTGTCCAGTTGTGTCATGTTTTGTTTTGTGATTGTAAATGTAAAGAATTGTTTCTATTTTGCTGAGTTTATTTTCTTCGTCATTTAAAGTGTTAATTATTCTGATTTTTTCATTTATTGTTTTATGTAGTCTTTCGATGTCTGCTATTCCTGTTTTTGTTGTATTTAATTGTATTTCTACTCCTTCACTTTCAAGCCATTTTTTTAGTGCTAAGCTGGAAAATGCGCCGTCTCGGTCAGCTTTTAATAATATTGGTTTTCCTAACTGATTAAATATACGCATTAATGCATTTTTGCATTCTATCCAGTCTTTTGTTTTAATATTTTCAAGAGTAGCGAATTTTGAATAAATGTCCATGCAGCTAAGATAATGTTTGCCTTCAGAAGAATAAATGTCAATTACAAATTTGTCACGACAGTGTTCGGGCTTGGGTGTAATTTTCATTAGCATTTTTGTGTTTCTATGTTCTGATTTTGCTAAGTTGCAAATATGACATTCGTTTATTATGTTTTGTGTTAATATTTGGCTATTAGGGAAATAATAGGTTTCACAAAAAAGTTTATTTGTTTTTTGAATTCCGGGGTGTAGGAGTTTTTCATGGGTTTTCAAAATAAGTTCTTTGAATTCGGCATAGGAGTTAATGTTTTTTAATTGAATGAGACTTCGAAGAATTTTAGTATGGCTAGTGTTAATAATTTCCTTGTGTGCGTTTTGAATTATTTCAAAATCTGCATCACTGTCTATAAATATTGCACTGGTTTTTGTGCAAAAATGGTCTATTAAATATTTTTCGGCTTTATCTTTAGTCATGTTATCGTATGTAATGTGAATTATTAATTTTTTGAAGTAATTTTCTTTTTTTACGTTTGGAATGCCTTTAGAAAATATAATTTGTCTTTTAAATGTGTTTATTGGTTTCTCTGTAGTGAATATTAAATTACTATTGTCTTCGTCAGCGCTATGTTGTGTTTCTTCTCCGAAATAAGTCTGTTCTATTTTTACTCGTGATAGAGCGTCAGCTATGTGGTTTTCTTTTCCTTTTATATGTTTTGTGTCAAAGTCATATTCAGATAATTTAACTCTCCATCGGGTTAATTTTGAATTTGGTTCTTTCATTTTGTACAGCCAACATAATGGTTGATGGTCACTATTGATTTCGAAATGTCGTCCTAGTAGGTAATGTCTAAAAGTTTTTGTTGCCCATACAATGGCTAAAAGCTCTTTTTCTATGGCACTGTAGTTAGTTTCGTGCTCATTGAGAGTTCTGCTAATAAAACTAATGGGATGTCCGTCTTGAGAGAGTACTGCTCCAAGAGCTACATTACTTGCGTCAGTGGTTAAAACGAATTTACTTTTAAAGTCTGGAATTTTTAGAATTGGGTCATTAGAAATTAGTTGTTTCAATTTTTCAAAAGCTCTAATGTATTCAGGATTTTTAATGTCGATTTTTGAGTCTTTTCTAAGTACTGCTGTCATTGGTTTGGCTATGTCTGCAAAATTTGGAATGAACTTTCTGTAGTAACCGGTTAATCCAAGAAAACCTTTTATTTCTTTGGTTTTTGTGGGAATTGGATATTTGTGAATTGCTTTGATTTTATCAGGATTGGGTTTTATTCCATCCTTAGTTATGACATGTCCTAGGAATGAAGTTTCTTGTTTTAGAAACTCGCATTTATCAAGTTGTAATTTGAGATTTGCTTCAGAAAGCTTCTCGAAAACTAATTGGAGTGATTGCAAATGTTCTTCTAAGGATGTTGAGAATACAATTATATCATCAAGATATACCAGACAATGTTTATTTAGTAACGGTCGTAAAACATTGTTCATGCAACGTTGAAAGGTTGCGGGTGCATTTTTTAATCCAAATGGCATACGAAGATATTCATAGTGGCCATGTTTAGTAGAGAAAGCTGTTTTTTGAATGGAATCTGGATGCATTTCAAGTTGGTGGAATCCTTTTGCAAGGTCAATTGTAGTGAAATAATTGCATCTACCTAGTTTTCCTAAAATCTCGTCCATATTTGGTATTGGGTGCCTATCGCTTATGGTTACTTCATTTAATTTCCTGTAGTCAATTACGATTCTGAATTTTTGTTTACCTGAAGCATCTTGCTTTTTCGGTACGATCCATATAGGACTACAATAAGGAGAATTGCTAGGCCTTATGATACCTTGATTAAGCATGTCTTGAATTTGATGTTCAACTTCCTGTTCATATGCTTGTGGATAACTGTATGGTTTTGTATGTAAGGCTGAATTGTGGGTAGTATTTATAATGTGTTTTTCTTGATTACTGAAACTAAGTTGGTTGCCTTCTTTATATTGTATGTGTTGATATTGTGTCAACAAACTGATTAAATTGATTCTTTCTTCTTCATTTAAATGATCTAATCGGTAAGGGCTTGAGTTGGAAGATTCTTGGTTATCGGAAATTAATCTAATTGGATTTCTAAACTGTTTATTAGTTTCAGGATTTGGTTGGGGTAAGAAGTGGCTCTGATTTGTGATTGGAATATCGTTGGTTAGTTTATACCTTCTATTGTATAAAGTAACAGTTTGGGTTTTTTAATCTATAACGGCTTGTGCTTCTGAAAGCATTTTTTTACCAATTAATAGATCATAGTCTGAGGAGAATTGGTGTAGAAGAAATTCATTATTACCCTTGAATAGGTTATTAGAATGGACGTTAACTTTCTTTGTGATAGTTAAAGGTCCGTTGCTGGTTTGAATGAAACAATCGGTGTCATGAACTTGTAAATTGAAAACATTTGATGTCATCATATTTACAGTAGATCCTGTATCTATTAAACATTTCAGATTTTTGCCTTTATAAGTGATTACTATGTACTGTTGGTTTCCAAGGCTGGAAGCTGAAAATTTTCGGCTTGCTCGATTTCTATTTCATTTGGTTGTTCTGTCTCGTGTTCGGCTGATTGTGTGTATGTAAAGTCTGGGCTTTGTGGGTAACTTTCTGCTTGATAATATTGTGGATAATATTCAGGATAAGCAGCGCATTGATTATAGTATTCTTGTTGCATGTAATCATGATAGTTTAGCTCTTCCTGATTTCTAGCTTCATCGTCAATACTCATCTTACTCTGTCCACTTTCTGCAGGTCTAACTTGTTTAGTCGGTTGGTTGGCTACGCCAGAGTTATTGAAAGAGTTTTGTTGTGGGGTTACTTGTCCGAAACGATTGTTGTCGAATTGGGTTTGTCGGGAGTTTGGTCTGGGTGTAAAGTAGGTTGGTCTGATTGGACTAAGTATTTGTTGCATTGGTTGAGGTGAATAATTATTAGGTTTAAAAGTGTTGTTGTTAGTATAGTTGGGTGATGGTTGATGATATGGTTGTTGAATGTAAGGCTGATGGGGTCGATATGGGACATAGGGTTGATTTGGTTGAAGAAAAGTGGGGAATCTTTGAATATTTGGGTTTGGTTGATACAATGGCTTCAAATATTTTTCTTGTTTTACTTTATTTGGGGTTGGATTAAGACAGGGTTCGTTATAAAGATTTTTTTCTTGCAAAATATTAATTAGAGATCTTAAATCGGGAATTTCGCAATTTATAATTCGAATGCAAATGTTTGTGGGTAATTTTTGAATAAGGTCGTCAATGCTAGTTTTGATTAGTCGCGCATACAATGTTTTTTCGTCAATGTTATTTTCTAGTTCTAGCTTACTCATTAGTGTCTGCCTACGGTGTTCTGCTTCTTCCAGAAAAGCTCGCACGTTGCCTTTAAACGGGGTGCTCCTGAATTCCTCCAGTAGGATGTGGTTCTTAGTTTGCGTCTTGTAGTTCAGTATTAGTTGCTTCCGAAGATCCGTCCAGGTCCTCAAGTTGCTTACGCCAAGGGATAACATCACTTCACTGCTGATGCAGCGTTCCACAATTCCAAAAAGAATTGACCTCTGCCTTGCATCGTTGGTGGTGTAGAGGGCCAAAATGTAGTCGATCCGGTTGATGAACGTGTACAAAGCGTTCTTATCTCCAGTGAACTTCTCAACGTTTTTAAGTTGGTTGATCACTTGTGCCATGTTGGCATCGGTCAGGGGTGTTATTGCGTTGCCTTCCATTATAAATTTTTTGTTTTTTTTTATTTAATTATTTTTTGTTTACTTGGTTTTATTTTTAATTTTTCTTATCTCTTAGTTTTTGTTGTTTCACTTCAACTTCTCTTATTTTAGGTTCAGTTTCTTTTAGTTGTTGATTATATTTTTATTGTATTCACTTAATTTGTTAACTTACAGTTTAAAATGTTTGATTGGTTTGCACAGATAGCACTTTCGAATCTTTTGAGATAACCAGAAGTTTCTGGAATTATTTTCTCTTCGAATTCTATCGCGTCTTCTTGAATTGTTTTTCAAGTTTTTTGCACAATCCGCGGCTTTGGCAATATGCGAATTTTGGTGTACACGTCACTGTCGAGGTTTAATAAAAACTTGACGCGATATTGACCGTCGCTTGGGTTGCCTTCGCGTTGGTTGTTTTAGCGGATAACAGTAAACGGGACACAAGAATTAATAACTTAGCTATTGCATCAGGATCCACAATTTATTGTTATCCTACCGGCTGCGCCAATTAGATTTTTCTTTATTTGCTGTGAGTTTGAGTCTTATAAAAACCGCGCACAGCTCTAACGGTTAAATTGAATTAAATACAAGGCGAAATTTCACGACAAGTTCATTTATTGAAGATCAACTTAAGACTAAAATTCAGTAGAACTTATTATGCTTATTTATGCTGAGAAGCTTATTTCTACGTAAAGACGCGCAGCTGCAATTATCTGACTGAGGTGTCTATTGCTTTGTGTAACTGTACAAGTGCAGCTGCAATTATCTAGTAAGGTGTTTATTGCTTTGCTTATCTGTTTGGATGCAGCTGCAATTATCTGAATAATGTTTTATTGCTTTTGCAGGCGATAAGCGCTTGCAGATTCGCAGCTGCAATTATGCTACCTTCTTATATTTGTCCCTATAACTGTGCATATGTGCGAATATGGCACTATATATATATATATATATATATATATATATATATTATTAATAGTATTATATTATTATATATATGTATATATATATTTTTTTTTTGTTTAAAATTTTGTGTATATAAAAAATTTTGTGTTTGTTTTTTTTGTTTTCTTATATATATTAGTTGTATTATTATTATTATTTTATTTTCATTTTTTGTTTTGTTTTTCGCAAAAGAAAATCATTATTTTCTCTATTCTTTCTTGTTTTAATGTATTAAATTTTATGTATTGGTTGATCAGACCATTTTCATGAACATTTTCAGTTATTATACTTTTTTAACCTCTCCTTGTGTACTCTCTGTTTTTTCTGTTTGCGATCTTTAATTAAAATATTATCATTAACTTCTATTGTTTCTACTGTGTATGGTCCTAAATATACTTGATCTAACTTATGTCCTGATTCATTTCTTAGCAATACTTTATCTCCTATTTTTAAGTCAAAATCGGAAGTCTTTTTATCATAGTTAAGTTTCCTATAAGCCTTAGCTTTTTCTAACATATCTCTAGCTCTTTTATTTGCTATTTCTATTCTAAATTTTCTTTCCTTAGAATAATCATCTATATTATAGATCGGGTCTATTCTATTTAACTTATTAAAATCTATGAACTGTCTTGGTAGTCTTCCAAATACTAGTTCGTATGGACAATATTCATGCACCACCGAAGGTGTCGTGTTGAAACAATAAGTGAAATATTGGATCCAAACGTCCCAATCGGTTTTGTCTGCTGAAATGTATGAGCGAATATATTCATTGAATGTTGTCTGACTTCGTTCTATTGTCCCAAATGTCTGGTGGTGATATGCAGTAGAAGTGAGATTCTTGATCTTCATGTACTTGCACATGTCTGATATTACTTAATTCTTATACTCAGTTCCCATGTCCGAAATGAACGTCTTCACTGGACGGTACTTAAGTATAAAATCTTCGAATATTGCTTTTGCTACAGTATTTGCACTTTTGTTTGCCATATTTGGCAAATTGCCATATTCAGATCTTGGTAGTGGACCAACGGTGTACACTATCACATTGTCGAAGCATTTTTTGGTGTTTCAGTGTAGGTCATTGGGGTCTTTGTATTTTTCGCTGTTTTCGACATTTGGCATTTATGACATCTACGTATGTACTCTTTTATATGACGAACAATATTTTTCCAATAGTAGTGTCTTTTAATTTTCGCTAACGTTTGTATACCCTGAACCCATTAAAAATGGTTAAACAGGGTATATTGTATTTGTGCAAATGTATGTAACAGGCAGAAGGGAGCATCTCCGACCCCATAAAGTATATATATTCTTGATCAGCATCAATAGCCGAATCGATCTAGCCATGTCCGTCTGTCTGTCTGTCTGTCCGTCCGTCTGTCCGTATGTATGAACGCAATGATATCAGAACCTATAAGAGCTAGAGACTTAAAATTTTAGCTGTAGGTCCTCCTAATGCCCGCGCAGATCGAATTTGTTTACGATATTCGATTACTTGCCCCGTTTCCAAGTAATCGATAAAAATCGATATCGAAATCCTGTTTTTTGGGCATTTTCGGCAAATAATATGAGCTAGAGTCACCAAACTTGACATGTAGCTTCTAGAATAGAATTATATATCAAGTATCTTTCATTCTATACCTATCGCTACCTCCCCGCTACCACCTCAAAGCTATAAATCAAGTTAATTATCCAACTTGTATTGCCTATCAATTTAAGCCACAATTTATATGCAATTGCATTTTTGAGAATACACGAACATTCTTTATTCTATTCTACAATAAGATGTACTGTCGAAAATTTCATTAAGATCGGTTAAGAAACACAAAAGTTATGTGCGCGCGTGTTAACAGCATAGCTGCTGCGCAAATTCCAAGAATTTCACACACACATTCATGCGTGTTTGCTTTGAATTCTATCAACAGCATTGCAATTGCGATTGTATTGTTTTCTGTGCTGCTATTTTAATTGGCAGAATGAGATTTCTTTGGGACTAATAAAAGTGGGCTGTTATATTCTGACACAGATTGTTCGACAATTTTGTCGTCAATAAGTTTTTGTACTTGGGCTGTGGCTGTGAGGACTAATAATATAATTTTTAATGTAGACTGGTTCACCGTCTTTCAATCTTAGCTTTTGTTTATAAAAATTATTCGTTGAAATGGATTCGGTTTATAGTCCAAATATATCTGTATAATCAGTGCATAATTCAGTAAATTTTGCTTTAAACTGTGGTGGAAAATTTTTGGATAATCGAGACATGACTTCTTCTTTTCTACTTCCACTGTTTGTTTGTACCACATCGTAGTTCGAAAGTGATTCATAATTTAGAATATTTATACTAATTAGTTGATCGGTACTGGTTGTGTTCAGTAGTCGGACAAATGCGTTTCGTGTGGTTGCAACGGTGTTTGAAACATAAATACCAGTATGAACTTCCTGGTTTGGAATTA